AATTCACAGTTACCCTGTAGGACAAAATAGACTGCTCCACAACATTATCAAAGGCTGTAAATCTTACATAAACAGGTTATTTCATCATTACCTCCAGGAGCAGGTTGATGAATTTGAACTTTTGACTTTTAGTTATTAGACAAGTGCAGCTGGAGTGTTCTTTGTAGGCAAAAATGTTGAGGCTTCACCTCACATACTTTGGACATGTTGCTAGTAGGGACTATTTCTTGGAGAAGGACATAATGCTGGGAGGGTGGAGGGTTGGCAAAGGAGAGGAAGACACAGGTGGATGGATTGACACAGTGACTGCCACAATTGGCTCTTGTGTGTCAGAAAGTGTGAGGATGGTGCAGAACAGAACACAGTTCAGATATTTTGTTCATAGGGTCCCTATGAGTCGTACTCAACAACACTTAACAAGTGCTTAATCAGAGCTCCTTAAATGTCCATACCACTATTGTAATGCTAGTTTATTTTAAAATAATACTTATCCCATGTCTTCTGCAAAGTTTTAGGATGAAACCGAATGAGGCGATGTTTGAGAGTATTGACTCGATGGTCACAGTTGTAGATTAGGGTGTTGAACAAGGATACTAAGAGTTGAGCTATGCAAGAGCTCAAATTATGAAAGATCTTTAGTGCTAGGTTAAGAAATTAGGATTTATCATGGGGAAGAGGAGTGTATTATCAAGAATAAGGTAGTGAGAACATTGTTTTAGGAAGGTTATTCTAGTAGTGGGGACAGAGTTACCAGGTGGATTTGCTGCAATAGTCCGACGAGTTCTCCCCAAAGGGAGCTTTTATTTCCTTCTGAACCTCTGCAATGTTCAGGGTTAAAACGTGCCCTGCTGTGCTTGGGATATTCACATAACTGTCACTAGTTGGCAGCAGTGATCCAAAGGACTAGCAGCTTTAGTTACAGAGTTGTGAGTGGGTATGATCATCTAATGGAAAATTAGGAGGGCATTCTGTGTGGAAGGAAGCTCAAAGGCCCAGAGAGTGAAAGGCATATGTAGAGGTTAGAGGACAAAGCAGATCAATGGCTGGAGGATATATTGTTTTGAATGGGATGGGAAACAGTGGTGAGAGATGAAGGTGCTTCTGAGAGTTTGATCCTGACAAAAAAAATGGTCTTCACCTTTTGTGCTAAGGAAGTTGGACAGTATCCTGAGGGGAAGGGGGAACCAGGCATAGTTTTTAAGTGATAGGCATGATCAAACTTACATTTTAGAAAGATCACCAAGACTGTAATGTAAATGGAGACCAGGAATAGAGAGAATAATTAGGAGGCCTGAAATGATCATGAGTGACCTACATTAAAGCAGGCAACTGAATGGATAAGAAGAGGTCAATTTTGTAGGAAATATAAGAAAGCAAGCCTCAGAATCCTTGCCTCTCCTGGAGAGGGTGAAACCAGGCTGCTCCTTGGAGGCAAGGATTCTGAGCCTTCGTCTGACATATTCTGGGCATTTTGCAAGGAAGTACCAGTCCTTGGAAAGAGACATCATGCTTGGAAGGGTGGATGCACAGAGCAAGAGAGAGAGACCCTCAATGAGATTTAATATCTGGGGTAAGGAGGGTAGGTGTGTCAGAGACAATAAGGTTGGCACAGGACAGGGCAGGTTTTGGGGCTATTGTACATAGAATCACCATGAGTTGCAAACGACTTGACGGCACATAACAAAAGAAGAAAGAAAGATCTCTAATCAAAAGCTTAGAAGTTGAAGTTCACCCAGAGATACCTCAGAAGAAAAAGTGATCTACTCAAACAAACAAATAAATCAACCATGCCTTATGAAAACATAATTTTACTCTCATTATGAGGATCTCCACAAGTCAGAACAGATTTGAGAGTAACTGGTAACTAATAGGATAAGAAATAAAACAAAACAAAAAAGCGCTTGTTCACCATTGCGCAGGTGGAGTCAATTCTGAACCATGACATCTTCAATATCTTCATGTGTGTAGAACGTGCCTTAACTTTCAATGGCTGATTTTTTTCAGAAGCAGATAGCCAGGTCTTTCATCGGAAACACCTCACCTCTTTGTAAACTCTCACATTGCTATCCTTTTGGGATTAGCAGCCAACTGTGTAACTGTTTGTACCAGGGATTCCAGGTACATGAGAAAAGAAATCACAGAAAAGTAGTTTTCTTTTTCCTTTAAATTCTTTATTGTGGTAAGCATATACAAGACAAAATGTTTTTCAGAGGTACAATCCTAAAAAAGTTCTAACAGAAGGAAATCAATACGGGCTGTCCCCAGGTTACTCACATCTGTCGTACTTCTGATTTATGGACAATTTGTACTTGCTCCTTAATGTTATGTACAATTGCCCTCACTTTGAAATGACTGAACCAACTCCTACAGGAAGTAAATTCTTCCTCAATCACCTTCACCTTCACGTACTGCACATGCTTTAACCACTGAAAAGGCTTGCCAATTCAATCTGAAGACATAGGTAGGAACGGATCTCCTTAGTAGCCCTGGAAACTGCCTGTATTCTTTCCCTATTATTAACACACATTCTGAATTCTTAATTCTAGCCCATGTACTTTCAGCAATTCTGACCAATCTGTGGTGAGAACTGGGGACAAAGGAAATGACCTAGCACCTATTCCAGCAGTTGCCTCCCCAAATCTGGTGGAAAAATGGTCAGTTCCTGTGCTGTGTGGAAAGCTGCTCGGATGGAGGAAATAAGCCGCGCTGTGGACTCCAGGAGCTCTGGTGGTTCAGTGTGCTGCCAAATGTAAGGCCAGAGGTTGGAACCCACCACAGCATCTCCTCTAAGATTTAACTGTCTCGGAAGACGATGGTGTGTGACTGGGTCCTAATGGTCTCTTCGGCAGTCGTTTTTTGGGCAAAGTCCAAAGGGAGTCCAGACTCTCTTTCCAAAGAAAGGAGCGTTTAGAGGCTAGGATTTCAGATGAAGAATCTCACAAAACAGCCAATTGTTCTTAACTACACCGATGGGGGAAAATGGGGTCCTAGGAAGCAGCCCTTTTACTATTTACCCTTAGTCAGAAACAGTAGACGTCACCGTAAACGCCACAGGTATCCAAGGTGAGCTACATTCCCCCAGGATGTCCGGCCCTAAAGAAGTGAGCTCCTCCCTCTGCTGGCAGTGTTTCTCGGAACCCCGAGATCGGGATCGCTGCGCCTCTAAGGTGAGCCCAGGGACCGCCACTGAGAGGCAGCCAGGCTGTGATTGGTGGAGGCTTCATCAGTCGCTGGACTTAGTGCACACTGATTGGTGTAGACGCCACACAGTCCCGCCTTTAGTACGGGCTGACAGTCTAGTCAAGCCTGGGCACCGCCGTCGGTCCCAGCCAGGACCTCCTCTCGTTGAGACTTGGAGACGCTGGACAGTCGCCTCCAGCAATTACAGCGTCAATCTTGTACATTCATGGTGAATTGAGGATCCCAAGGTGGGGAAAAAAGCACCTGAGGACCGGAAGCTGTATCCTAGAGCATTGTGGGGCACGGTTAGGGGCGGGCCCAGGATGAGCCCAGCGTTTAGTGCGAGGAGACAACAAAGTTAAAGGTTCACGGGCCATTTTTTTCACCCAGACTTAAAAAGCTAGACCAGGGCCCAAAGAGGCAGGGCTGCAAGTGCAGCCTGATGGTCTTTTTCCAGGCATGCCCTCTACTTTGCAAACATCCTTGTGCTGTGGCCCTAACATTAAATCTAGGGCCCTGGGGCCATTTATCTTTTGCCCTCAGGTGTCTCTCTCCCATTGTTGTCTTCCACACCTTAGCTATTATCTGACCCTGGTCCCTGACTCCATTCTCTTCATTGTCCTCAGAGATTGTTCCACAGGGTTGCTGCTCACTAGAAGCCTTTAGAGGGACACCAGATAAGCTTCCTGCATTCCACTCAGCCTCTCACCTGGCCATCACTGCTCCTAGGGTCATGAAACCCTGCTGACTATAGCTTGAGGTGGGAATGGGAAATTCAAATAAGTTCTTTGCATGCATTGATAATACATTTAAAACTCGCTGCCACTGAGTGGATTCTGACTCTTAAGTGACACTAGCACAGAAATGCCCAAAGCATTTCTGAGGTGGTAAAATCAGCAAGGAAACAGACTGCTCTTTCTCTAGAAGAGTGGCTGGTAGGTTTGAACCCGACATACAGGTGGCAGTTCACTGCTTAGTCCAGTGCACCACCTTCATGGCTTGAAATTCAGGGAGAGGAGGGGAATCTAAGTCATTAGAGAGGGTGCAAGCTGGAGATAGAGAAGCATTTCTAAAAAGCCAAATGGGAGAAGGCAGCTTGACAGCTCCCTGGGTCTAGATGAACAAGTTTCTTCTCTTTGGGGGTGGTGTAGGAACTGTGAGATAAAAATTGCTCAAAGCGTGGTTTTTATGATGCATTTGCTGCTCTTAAGACTTTAGGCACATGACCTCTGGGTCAGATATGGATATGCAAGCCCTGGAGAACATAGTCTAATTGTCCTATAGGGTTTCCAAGATGGATCGTTATCCTTAAGGAAGCAAGTCTGCCAACTATTGTCTAGAGGAGCAGTTGGCTGATGGGTTTAAACTGCTGGCATTATGGTAGCAGCCAAGCCCTTAAGCATGGGCTGTCAGAGCTCCCTAAATGTAGTACCTACTTTATTTACATTTGAAACAATACCTACCTACCTATCAAGACCTGAGCCATCAAGTTTTGCACATGGCCATCATTTAACACCAGCTAGCATGTTTATGTTTAGAAGGAAAATGGTAATGCCTTGAAGGCCTTGGTAATAGACTACAAGGATATTTGAATAACAGAAGGCACTGGCCAGAGAGTGGAAGGGACTATTTTGAGTTAATAAAGGCTACATAAAGCCACTGAAGTAGTTACAACACACTTACTGCTCCCACTCCCATCCAGATCCTTTTACCTTTAACCACATTTCAAAACCATATTTCTAAAAACCAGCCTTTATATTTGTTTAGGTAAGTTACAGAGGGAGTGAGGTGGAATATTTGTAAGTTGGTTTGTCCAGATATACTATAACTTAGTGTCTGTATTTAATATTGACAACAAAAAAATAATATATATATGTATATATAAATATCCTCCATCTATACATAGCAGGGCAGGAGTATCCATGTCTTCTTGAGTAGTGAGTTCTCAGCCTCCCACAGCACTCCTCTCATGCGATCATCTAGCCTCAGTGCAAAGGAGATTAGAACCTGGCAGCCCACTCTGGCCCTTCCCCTCTCCTCCCTGCACTCCAGTTCTTCCAACTGGTCTCAGGCAAGGAAAGATTAATTTGAGTGGTTGGGTAGGAAGAGATGGGAATGGATGAATCCTAGTGGAGCCTGATCCCTGGGGCAGAGGGATCCAGGCTAGCAGAGGGAGTAACCATTGCCACTTCCTGGGGTAGGAACCTCAGTAGTTCATATTTCTATTAGCATGTTCTTGGTCTTAGGTCCAGCCCTACAAATTAGCTTGGTGAAGAAGGCATGTGTCTGAGGAGGACCTGGTCTCCACCCTCAGTACAGAACCATTCAGAGTGGAGCCAGAGCTGTGGGTATAGGAGACTCTGGCTGATAAAAAAATAATAATAATAAAATCAGTAATAAAAAAACCTTATAAAACCTGTTGCTTAACTGAATAGATTGAGCAACAGTTTTGCTTTTGTTAAAATCCTGGAGCCATTAAAGTCTTGAGTAATATCCAGTGTATTCTTCTGGACATCATTGCTGGCTGAAGAAGGGAGCCCCAGGCCCGGCCAGCTCTGGTGACATCTGTCAGTGTGGAAGTTTCGTCCAGCTGCTCATGCTCTGAGGGATCCTTGAGGCGGCTGGAAGCAGGCCGGGCTGGTGGTGTTGGGGCCTCACACTTGGGAATCAGCTCCCAGGGGGTGGAACAGCTCCTCAGGTGTCTTGTCACTTTGACTGGCTCCCCCCTGACGGAATCCAGAAGCAATCTCATCAAAGGTCCGGCCTTTGGTTTCAGGAACTTTGAAGTAGGTGAAGATAAAGAACAGGACTAGAAGCACAGTGAAGATAATGAAGACGTAGGGGCCACAGAGTTGCTGAAAAATAGACGTATACTTGGTTAGATTTCTGGCTGTACATGCTGGCTGTAGCACCCTGGATAAGTCACTTCTGTACCTTTGACTGGAAAAAGGGAACCCCCTACTACAACCCAGGGGTGCTGTGATGGTTACACGAAACTCACTACACCTGGCATGCAATGGGCATCCTCACAATTTGAGAGCAGGTCCCCACTACAAAGCAGGAATAGGACACAATGCAAAACTGAGGGAAAGAATTCTGGAGTTGAGATTAGGGCCTTTAGCTATGTGACTCTGGGATTCTGAGACTTAATATCCTCCTTAGCATGAATCATAGCAAGAACAGCTAGGAGAGCACTTTGCACAGCACACATCAAAAGCACATTTCTGAAAACCAGCCATTCCTATCTGGTTAGGTAAGTTGCAGAGGCAGTAAAGTGATATGTTTACAAGCTGGTCTAAATATATTCTAACTTAGTGTCTGTATTTAATACCTACAAAGCTTATCTATATCTAACAGGGCATGAGTGAGGGAGAGACAATGGGGGTATACTTACCTCCACATACTGGAAGCACATGCCTACAATGAAATTTGAAGTCCAGTTGGAGAAGCCAGCAACAGCAAAAGCAGCTGGGCGAGGACCCTGGCTGAAGAGTTCGGCCACAATGAACCATGGTATGGGGCCAGGGCCCACTTCAAAGAAGGCCACAAAGCCAAAGATGGCCACAATGCTCAGATAGGACATCCAGGGCAGTTGCTCCTGTAGCAGATAAGGGAGAGAGGGAGAATTAGATTACACTAAGGGCTCTGGACGGGATGGCAGGAGGTTTGGGGCTGATTCTGGTTTTGCTGTGTGTCCCAGGTACCTTGTTTCTAATTCCTCACTTAGAATGATTTCAGAACTGCAGAGTGGTTGTGTCTCCCTTGGAATGGTAACATGCTGTGTGTTGGGGTGCGGGCAGGGGATGCAAAGAAGAGGCCTCTGGGGTTCTCTGTTAATGCAGTGCAGAATGAGACCCAGGCATGAGAGTGGATGTATGCTGGAAGGTCTGTAACATGGCCAGCTCAGGGCCTGCATGAGGTAGGCATCAGGCACTTGGTCCTGGGGAACGGGCTTTGATTCAAGTCCCAGAGGTGCCACTCATTTCGAGCAGAGCATCCTGGCCATCACTGGCCCATCAAGCCTTGGCTTAATTGTAATACTAGAATAACAGTGTTTTCTTCATCCCGAGTTTGGATGACTGGCGTTTGTATAAGAATGAAGTGTTTGGTACCGGCTACCAGTTGTTAGTCACGGGATTGTGGTCAGCAGAGCTAAAGTTTAATTTCTCGCTCCATCCTTTACTTAACACATTACTAAACTGTTTGTAGGATTCTCTGCATATGAAATAGGAATGATGGGAACTGCACACAGACTGTGAAAACTAGGTGGGACAGGGTGTGTTTCTATGCTTCAGTGATTTTTCTGAAGAATAACTGCTTCAAAAATTAGTTGAAGTTTCTCTTCCCTGGGAAGAAGGAAGACCATAGCTGACATCCAAGCAGATATATGCACACCCATGTTTATTGCAGCTTTGTTCACAATAGCAAGGAGTTGGAAACAACCTAAGTGCCCATCAACAAACGAATGGCTAGAGAAGCTGTGGTATATTCGCACAATGGAATACTATGCTGCATTAAAAAACAAGGAACTCATGCAATATTATTCAAAATGGTTGACTCTGGAGAACATTATGCTGAGTGAAATATCCCAGTCACAAAAGGACAAATATTACATGATGCCACTGTTGTAGAATGGGACTGTCCTTGGGGTTGGGGAGAGACTGAGTAAGATGGGTTCAATAATGTATACTGCACTGAAACAGAGGAGGGAGAGAACCGTTTAAAAGAGAGATATAACTGGGTATTTCTGTCATCACAGGAGACTAGAGCGAGGGCTACATGGTGGAGGGGACCTGGGGGAGGGTTTGTAAAACAATGAAAGAATCTTTTCTTTTACTTTTCCATAATTTTTGGACTCATGTACTTATAACTTGTTAGTCAAATTTGTGTCTTCTAGGTTGCAACACCCCCATGATACATCTTCAAGGATATGTACATGTACAGCCAAGCACAATCAATAAGAGTGCATCTAAATTCCAAAATCAATCTCCATAATATTCTATGTGTTTCCTACTGCCAAAGGGGCCCTTTAGAGTAGTGAGAGAAGATCTTCACCCTGAAACCCACAGCATCCCTTTTCAGCAGTAAGTAGCTAAGAGAATACGCCATCCCCTTTTCCTTATGACTCAGGGTGAAGTCTCTCTCAGGGAGGAGTGATAGGGAATGGCAAAGGACACACTGACAAAGAAGATTAATCAGAACTGGCTTTGACAAGCACTATGGCATTTGGACAAGAACAAACTGGGAGGAGGGTAGAGAGAATAGTGCAACAATGAATGAGTGGAAGCCCAAAATCTCTGTAAATGTTTATGAAAATTAATAAAATATAATTATAGAAAAAAAAAAGTTTCATGTAAGTCTGAGGAGGAGTAGAAGGTAAAGTCCAACCTTGAGGTAGGGAGGACCTAGAGAGACAGCAGTTTTATCTCGGCCTTTGGATGGTCAGGTTGGGCTGGGATCAAGGCAAGTGTAGGGATCTGAAGTCCCACATGAACTGTCTGTCACCCTGCTGCAGACTTCCCTTCCAGAGGCAACAACTCACCAGAAGTGCCAGCGCAATGGTCATGAGCACAGCACAGCTCGCCATGCCAGCCAGGCCAATGAGGTGCAGGGTCCGTCGGCCGGCTCGCTCCACCACAAAGAGCTGTGGGCAGACAGAGTGTCAGCACCAGGCCCTTGCCCAGCACCCTTCCAAATCCTCCACCCTCAAGCTGGCCTTTGGTGCTTGACTTAGGGGCCAGCCAGATCGAGGTGAGGGGATGAGAGCTGGCCCCAAAGGATTAGAGACCTGAGTGTCCTGGCTGTGACCTTAGGAAATCATTTCACCCCTGTGCGCACCAGTGACCTCAGCTGTGTGATATGAGCAATGAATTTCACATGGTGCTTTGAAGATGAAATGAGATGACATTTATAGAGCCAGGGACAATGAAGCTTGGCTCCTGGCAAGTGAAACCTTGAGGCCACAAGCCATACCCTGATGGCAAACAAAAGACTTACCGAGACAACGGTGAAGGCCGTGTTGACAATGCCGGAGCCTATGGTGGCGTACACAGGCTGCTGCACACCTGCCTTCTCAAAGATGCTTGTGGAGTAATAGAAGACCTACCAGACAGAAAAGTCATTACAGCTCGGCTGGCTACTGGGGCCTCCCCACTACCTCTGTACCAGTGGGACACAGAACACATAAAAAACAAAACTGAAATGCTGCTCAGGCAAGTGGATGCAGCACCAGTAACCCCACTGCCTTGTGGGTTGTGCTTTTAAAGGGCACTGCCTTCTTTGACAGAGGCTTTCTTGTTTTAAGTCTGGGGTTTGGTCATAGCATACACTTTGACCTATGGTTTGGCCCGGGGCCACAGGAAACGGTGGGTGGGGACACTCACAGCATTGATGCCTGACAGCTGCTGGGACAGCTGCAGCACCACGGCAATAAGGATGGGCTGGCGGTAGGCGGCTGAGCGAAACAGCTCCAGGATGGTGACCTTCTTCTCTCGCATCATCTGCCGGCTCTCTTCCTTCATCTCCTGCAGGTCCCGGGTCACGTCGGCTGTCCCTCGAAGCTTCTTCAGCACTGAGGGAGCCGGAGGGAAGGTGGGAGTGGCTCAGAGTGGGAAGAGTGGCCCAGAGTGGGCTCAGAAGCAGGGTAGGGCAGGACCCGGCCGTACCACTCTTGGCCCGGTTCTCCTCATTGCGGTTGATGAGCAGGAAGCGGGGGCTCTCGGGGCAGAAGGGCAGCAGGATGCACTGGAGCAGGGCTGGGATGAAGATGACACTCAGCAACAGGGGCCACAGGTCTTCATTGCCCATAATGGAGTCCAGGCCGAACACCTAAGGGGAAAAAAGCAAGGATGTTGGGAGTGACTTTGGGGTTCCAGCCCGAACCCCCACTTCCTTGTCCAACCACCCACAGTGGCCTCTGCTTTGGGTCAGGCTCTTTGCACAGTGCTACAGCTGCTGCTTTAGAGGAAAATCTCACATTCTGCAGGCAGGAGCTGCTGCTCTGCCACAGCAGGGTAAAGGGTTTGAGTCTGGGGAGGAGGGCACTGTGTACAGGGAGGGCTGGAGAGCTGATGGGCAGCCTGGTCACTATGGCCAGATCCACAAGTAAGGAAGGGAAAGGACACAAAGCTGAGTGGGCTGGAGTGAGATGGTTCAAGCCATCTGGACCTGCTCTTGAGCTAAGGAGGTTGGCAGATTTGTGAGTGAGCTGTCTGCTGGGGCCTGGGTGTGGGCCTGGGCCATGTCCTTCTTTGCAGGGTTGTAAGAGGCTGATCCTACCAGCAGCTCCAAGGAAGAAAGCAAGATGAAACATTTGCTTCTGTAAGGATTTACAGCCATGCAAACATTATCAGGCAGTTGTACTCTTGTCACAGGATTGCTGTGAATCGGGGTCAACTTGATAGAACTGGATTCAGTGGTTTAGGAGACTGCCTAGGAGGCCTACACTGGGGGAGCTCTGACGGTATTGAACACAGAACCGAGAGTCAATGAAGCTGTAAATGGAACAGTGGTGGTGAGCAGACCAGGGGCCACTTACCTGGGCAATGAGGATGCCGACGACGATTCCCAGCTGGTGCAGGGTGCCCAAGGCCCCTCGGAGGGCCGTGGGTGACACCTCCCCCACATACATGGGCACAAAACCCGTGGTCAGGCCACAGTACACCCCAATGATGAAGCGGCCCAGGATCAACATCTCAAAAGAGTTGCCCAGTTTCGAGAAGCCCATGAGCACCGCAGACAGGAAGGCCAACAGGTTTATCATCAGCATCGAATTCCGCCTGGGGAAGGGGACACAGGTCAGGTCGGGCAAACTCCCTGCCTCCCAACCCAACTGGGATTCCCTGGTCAGGACGGCACCTTCTCCCCACAGATGAGGGCTCCCAAGAGGGGGCAGAGCCAGGACCCCGTCTGCTCACCGGCCAAAGCGGTTAACAAAAAGGCCCACTGAAAAGGAGCCGATCATGCCTCCCACGGAGAAGATGGCTACAGAGAGGGACCAGAGCGTGGTGAGTGTAGCGGGCAAGATGGGTTCGCCATAGCGGTGCATCCATGTCCTGTTGTAGAACTCCTCGATCACCTGCAGGGGAGGAAACAGTCTGGGTGAGCAAGCCCGAGGCCAGGAGGATCCCTCCAAGGTCATTCCACCATGGGATGTAGGAGAGGCTCCAGGGCTAGCTTAGCCATCTCACGGCATAATCTTCGCCATGTTCCCTCCCTGTTATATGGGCTTAGGTCCCCCAGTGAGAAACTATGGGTTGGACTCCCCTCTGGGAGCTGTGTCAGTCCTCACACTTCCCCTGAAGCATGGATTCACATGCCTGATGGGATTTGCTGCAAAATGTGATGGCAAAGTCCAGGGAAAGAACAGAGACAAGTAGAGGGGGGAAAGTGCTTCTTCTCCATCTGCCCCTTTCCTAATTTCACCCCAGCTCCCGCCTGATCCCCACACCCTTGCTGGAAGAAGTACAGCTGGACAGGTGGAGCCAGGTTCTATCATTCTGAAGCCCTGATAAGGGGAAGGCAAGCTACCTGAGTCTGAGAGTTTCATCTTGAAGAGGGCACAGTCTCCTCCCCTCTTGAGGTGCCCCGCTGGGAGGTAAACGGGAAGGCAAAGGACAAGGAAGTAGTTCCAGGAACTAGACACCTGTCCTAGCACAGCCCTGCCTCCACCCAGGGGAGGGCCTGGCCGCATCCCAAGTATGTGGCAGGCAGGCAGCACCGGTTTTGCCTGGATACACTCACTATAGACTTTTGGGCAGTGCAGACACATTGCGCCAGGGGACTAGGCAGACCCATCTAGCCACACACATAGCTAGGCACAAGCTCAAAGTACATAGAAACAGAGGTTCTTGTGTGCACATAGCATCACACCACGCTTATATTCAAGGCCTTCAGCCAGACCTAAACCTATGTGCCCCTCCCTTCTCCCTCACTACTTGTAGTCCAACTACCCAGCCCCACATGTACGCTGCAAACATGCACACAGTGGTGTGCAGCCTCGCCAACCTCAGCAGCTATTGCTTGATTTTGCCCCTCACACTTCCCAGCCCTAGGTGGGCAGCAAAAGGAAGCTGTGGCTAGTCACATTTGCCAAGGGAGAAACTGAGACCCACAGTCCTCGGAATACTCATGGAATCTGCTGGACCTGGCCCCAAGGCACTTCCCTTCCTGTTGGAGTAGGCTATTGGCCTCTCCCCAGCCTGCCTTCCCTGGTGCCAGGATCTATGCCAAGTCCACAGACACCTGACAGAGGCCCAACTCCAGGGATGTAGGAAAGGATCTACTTGTTTGTCCTCATGGAAGTCAGGCAGTGCAGTGGGTCGGAACCTGTGCTCTGAATATGGACAGAACCAAATTCAGCTCCATCTGTGGGTTCAACAGCTCAAATCCAAGATGGTGGCATTTGCACATGGTAACTAGCAAGAACCTCTATTATTTTATGTATTTTCTATTAATTATCTATCTATCTATCTATCTATCTATCTATCTATCTATCTATCTATCTATTTATCTATCATCTATCCATACATAGTAACTAGCAATAGTGTTGCTGAGCTTTACCATGCCACATAGTGAGAATGCCTTAAGTTAATGAAAGAAAGTCAGGGGACCCCGAAAGTTAATCTGACCCAGATACTGCTTCAAACTCTGAGAAAATCTAATCAAGTCCCTACACTGTAATTTTTAAATCAAGGCTTCTACCCCAACACATCGGGGACTCTCATGGCCTAGTATATAAGGAGTTGGGCTGTCAACCCAAAGGCAGGTCATTCGAATCCACCATGGGAGAAAGACTGGCAATCTCCTCCCATGTAATTTACAACTTCTAAAAAGCTGCTAGAAAGTCAGCTATGAATCCATTGCCCCCACCATGTCAGCTTCAGCTGCACCTCCACTCAATGCCACTGTGGACATCGCTGGCCCTGCCTAGAAGGCACTATGACGCGCCCTGTTGAAAACTTTTGTGATCCAGCTCCAAGGTTCCCTCTTTGAGAAGCTTTTCTTGACTTCCAGGGCTCTGTCCTTCCTGAATGCAAGGAACCCAGGCAACATGAAACCAGGGCCTGTCTTAGAGCTGGGGCTAGGAGGTCCTGGTCAGGGAATGGAGGGGAATCTGTGAGTAAAGTGCATTGAGTTCTCTTCCTAGAAATTGCTTCTCTTGGAGGCAGAGTGAAGACAAACTTTAACAAAGCACAATGCTTGTGTTCTTTCTGAGATAAAACTGGCCTCAGAGGGGGATGGGGACAGTGACAGCCCATTTATCAGGCTATGCAGAGAACAAGCTGTCCAAGATAAGGGAATTGTCCAGATAAAGAAGGTTCACCCCTCAGAGGCCCAAACTTTTCTGACATCTGGGTGGGCACCTTCCTCCTTTCTGTCACTCTCATTTTGCTGGCCCAAGCAGCCAGTCCCTGGGGCTCACTGCGGGGCATGGAAAGGTATTTGTGCCTGTGCTGACTGGTCCCAGGCGGCTTTTGTATTTTGCATTCTTGTATTCCATAGTTCTCAGGGTGTATTCCATAGTTCTCAGGGTCTTCCCCTTTCCTCTGTAATACAGGTGCTTATGTCATACAGGCTCAGCACAGTTTTTAAAACGTGCCAAGAAACCAGCTGAGGGAACTTGTTAGAGTTTGAGGGATTGTTAGAGAAGAGTAAATAAAATAAGTGCTAAATGAAGTCTTGGAGATTTTCTACCTAAATGAGCTTAAGGGTGTAACACAGGGGCCAGTGTGCACACTTTCTTTTATGACATCGCAGGTTTAGCCTCTTTTCTCGGGACTTGGCTTGGGATACAGAGGCAGTTGATAAATGTCTTATCACAATTCCTTCCCAGTAAGTCAGTCCTATGTCTGTGGCAACACAATGCAGAGGGACTGAACCTTGTCCAAGACTAGGGCCTCATGGATTGATTCTGGTTGTAGGAAGGATGGGCAGCCAGGCCCCTTCACATGAACATTGGTCCCAGGCTCATCTCCTCCACCTCCAGCAGCAAAGACTGAGCAATGGGTTCCTGCCTTCCTATCTGGGGGGCTGAGATCTGTGGGAAGGAGCAGCTAAGCCTGGTGCTCTATTCCTACTGAGGAAGAAGGTTTTGAGATGTTCTTCCATTTAGTCTCTGCCCTCATGTGTCAACCCTAGAAGTAGCTGGAATGCCCATTGGAAAGAAGAGTTTACAACATGAGGATCTCACAGATCAAGTCTCCACCAGGTAAGGCAGCCTCCCCAGTCCTGGCTCAGGTTTATGAAGGCCAGCTATGAATTCTCCACAGCCTGGGAGTTAGCCTTAATTCTGCTAGCACCTCAATCACCAGGCTCTATCTATTCTGCCTCCCACTTCAATTCACTGCTCTACCTCGAAGCACCTGGCTCCTGCTCCTGACTCCTCCCACCCACCAAAGCCAGATTCCACTTCCCACCATGAATTCCTCCTCTGCACAAAATGCACCAGGCTCAGCCCATCTTCAGTTTCCTGCTTCCATGCTCCTCCCCCAATCTTCACAACCTCTTTGCCCCAGGGGTCTGTGCAAGTGCACGCATGATGGGGACAAACTCAACAGTCATGATGGCAATTGTTCTAGAGTTGAGAGGTATTTGGAGATCTCTTATCTAGTCCCCTCATTGAACCTGGGGGGCACGAGGCCCAGGGTGGTAAGGTGGGGGGGGGGTGTGGAGGACACTGAGCATCACCGCAGAGCTGAGAGCCTTTGGACCAGCTGGTTTCCAGTAAAAAGTAATTTCTCATCCCTCAGCCATTCTCTTGGAGTAGAGGAGGCTGCTCTCTCTGGCTCTTGGATCCTTGGGAAATCACCCCTCCCTCTGCCCATGCAGCTGTGGGTGAAGGACCACACGTCAGCCTGTCTGGGAGGAAGCACTTACTTCCTCTCTGTGCCCAGGCAGTGTCTGCAGCCAGGCCCTGTCTTGGGCCTGGGCGAGTGGCGGAGCGCATGCTCTAGCACATGGCGAGAGGTAATTAGCCATGACTCGTCACTGTGATTCTTGTGACCTTCAGGAGTGCATCAGGGACAGGGTTTTCCATTTTTAATTGCTAGAGGACAAAGCACTCCCCTAAGGAATTTACAGTGCAAGAAAGAATCTGAAGGTGACAGGGCCCTGCTGCAGGGAGTGTGGGGGTGAAGCTGTCTTCAGAGCCCTGCCTGGCTGTCCCCGCAGAAGGGCCAACAAGTCTGTGGAGTCCCAGTGTCTGGAGCTCCAGGGACAGATCTCAGCTCAGTGGAAAAGAGCTCCTCAGGCCCCAGAGAATAAGACTGCCTGCGTCCCTTCCCCCTTTGGGTAGTTCCCTCTCACTGAGGAGTGTGTAAGTCAAAGTGATCTAGAGTAAAGAGTGGCAAAAATTCTCTGTAAGAGGACAGATATAAAGTATTTTAAGGTCTGCAGGTCACTCGTGGACATTTTGGGATATTTACCTTGTTTTTATAAAAGCAATCCTTGAAAAATAGAAAAAAACGTTCTTAGCTCATGGGCTATTAAAAAAAAACCCACACACCAAAACAATAAATCCAGGCTGCAAGCCAGATTTAGCCTTCCTGCCAACCCTTGATCTAGAATTCTAGACCTATGTCAAGAGGCCCTTCTGGCAGAAACAGTTGTGTTTAGAGTCCCGGGCTGGTCTCATCCTTCCTGTGCCCCAAAAGGCCTACATCTCCTAGATCATTGCTGGCAGGGACCCCCTATTCAAGGCTCTCCTTTCTCTCTCGAGATGTTACTGTGGAAATGAAAGTGTTAAAACAACCAGCCAAAACGGTGAGCTCCAGGAAGGAGGAAAGAGTCCATTTGTCCAGTTTAGTCCCTCAGCTTGGCAGTGACCCCTGTTCTCTCCCTCCCCATCCCCCAACTCCCAGTCCAGAGCTGGATCTCCACAGCAACTCAGCCACACCCTGGGGCCAGCTGGGAGTTCAGAACCAGATGCTCCTGGTGGGGCCAGACTGACAGCCCTGGCTGCTGGGTCCCCTGGGCCTTCCCCTGGTGCCTGGCGGGAGAGTCCCAGGCAGCCAGATAAAGAGGAAAATTGGGCTCTAAGCCGGCAGCATCAGATCTGACCTCCCAGGCTGCTTCTCT